GTTTTGTGTTTTTTGAAAGACCTTGTTGGGGGGATATGTTGTGTATTGGGCCCCCTGTGTTTAAAATGTACTAGCGTGCTTTGCGCGCCGTAGAGTCAGAATAAAACATGGCGGACAAAGCCACGAGGTCTACACTTGTTTGTGTTAGTTCTTGTTAAATACAGGTCACGCATGTATCTATTGAATTTGTCAGTGGCACACTGATGGCGTTAGTAATCAGAAGGTTTGACACTCGCTACTGCGACTGGGCTATACATCGATTCTCGATTTCTTTGTCGATTTTTTTGAAAGAAAAGCTTATTTTAAAGCTTCTCTCGATCAGGCGACCTGTGGTCTAACGACCACAGATCCACACGGTTCTTGAAGTAATCCTTTTTTTTTTGACTCTACAGGTTCAGGCTCAAGTTGTGATCCTTGTCACGGAACATATCAAGGATCAAAGCCATTCTCAGAACCTGAGACGCTTAGCGTCAAAACATTGCTGGAATCACTGGGGTCAAGGCTGCAAGGCTTCCTGGACGTGCATTCGTACAGTCAGATGTGGTTTATTCCATGGGGACATACTAAGAATAAAACTAAAGACTATCAAGAGCAGGTAATATTTACAGCCATTCGCAAACACGCGCGCCCTCTAGCGATTTTTTCTGTCGTGACGTAGGTTTTGGTGGACGTCAATCGCAAGGCGTTTCCATAACATTGTCGGAAAACACAAAGCTATAAGGTCACGTGCCTATAGAATGTCATGGAAACGGTCTTGATTGACGTCCACCAAAAGCTTCTTCGTCGCGAAAGAAACAATCTCTAGAGCGGCGCGTGTGATTGAAAATGGCTGTAATCAATTTAAATTGAAAAAAATTCACAACTAAAATGAGCTTTAATCAGGTCTTTTATCATTGCTTTAGTGAGAGAGCATATTAATTGAAATCTGTAAAACTGTAGTGACACTTTGAAGGAAGTAAGTTCAAGACTCGCGAGGATATGAATTTTATTTACCGAGGGTAGTTTTAACTATAGCAACTATGCTAAATGAACGTGTGCCGGGTCCACCACGCATTCTATATCGTTAGAATATACGTTTTACATATCATGTTCATTGAATATATTTTTAAACTTATCATATAAAACTTGTTCACTAAAGAATGTTTTAGCAAATTTTGCTTTTAGATGAGGGTCGCAGAGCTCGCTTGTAGAGCAATAAAAGAGTCTGATATCGCAGCAAACTACTCACACGGGCAGTCTTCAAGGCTGATGTGTAGGTTCAGTGTACAGTCATATGATTTACTCTTTTTACGTTAGCAACTGATAAAACATTCACGCTCATGCCGAAAATGTCCATTGAAAAGGAATAGAGGCATTGCACCATCACGTGACGACAGCCATGTTAGATGACAGGAACAATACATTCGTTTTACATGAGAAAGAATTCAATTTCCAAGAGAAAAGGGATTGTATTGTTCTGCCCTCTTACCGCAGGCAGTCTACGAAGCTGAACAATCGGCGCCGGCACGTGATGATGTAAAGCCTCCATAGACCAAATTCAAAACTCGCACCGATTTGAGGCTTAAGTTGTGAACAAAGGGATCTGGTGTGACTCAAAGTAATCTGGCGTGACTCAAAGTAATCTGGCGTGATTCAAAAGTCACGAATCACGCCAGATTCCTTTGTTCACAACTTAAGCCTCACATCGGTGCGAGTTTTGAATTTGGTCTATTCACTGGAACACTTGAAACTAGACTAAGAACCTGGATAAAACTCTCGAATAATATGAGATTCCTAAAGTCTATGGAATTTTATCATATCAAATATTTTTGTATTAATTGGATTGTTAAATCAAACTGCTATTCAATTCTTCATCAGACGGCGCATCTGGGGTAGCAGAAGACTGGGTCTACGGTAACCTTGGAGTTCGTTATTCGTTTTCAGTGGAGCTTCGAGATACTGGACATTATGGATTCCTGTTGCCTGCCAGGTTTATACGTCAATCTGGCGCTGAAATGCTCAAAGCACTCAATGCAATTATCATGGCGATGAAGTTATGAAAAGTACCCGGCTGCTCAGCCAAGTGTTGATTAAGCTAACTCGCATGACAAGAATAAAATTGTGGCACAGACATTTGTATATCTTAGTTTACGTGCTAAAATAAAACTTTTAAAAATCGAATGAAAAAGGCTCGTGATAAAAAGCTAGAGGCTATTATTGGGCAAAATAACTTTCCTTAACTTCCCTTTTGCACTAAAAAAGTGGTTTACGGTCTACCGCTAAAAAACAACGTGTCGAACATGGAGTCAGTCATAGTCTTAAAACAACGCAAAACTATGAAATTCTACCGACTTAAACAGATTTAAAACTCGATATTCAAACCATGTTCACTGATATTCCTACCATTCATTGTATCTTCGTGATTAAGATGTAGGAACCGATTTTAACGAGCCAATGAGCAGCTAAAAGCCGCGAGGCTACTAGTTATGTGGTAAGTCGCTGTCGCATTTAATAACTTCAAAAGGATCATTTATATGGCGTGGTAGATTCGATTATATGTGACGTCGTTGAGTGGTGAGCTGACTAGTATTTTTACCAAAAATTATTATTAATTGCCAAAAGGCAGGAACGTCGTATATGGCACATTATTTTATCCCTACCAATAAATCTATTTGGTGATCCATGTGTTTGTAGCATAAATGAAGTACCATACGACTAAACTAAAGCCTTCTAATCAAGTTTGAATTTTAATTTATTGAAAGTGACCTATAAAAGTGATATTTATTCATTCATGTTTTGATCAAATTGTTTTCCTGGCTTGTGGTTTTTTCAATGCAAATGGTCACCCGACTGTACTTCTCAAAACAAAATAACATTTCCCAATTTGTATTGGATGATGGCCGATTTTATTTATATACAAATGATAAATGACCGGTGAAATTGTTATATTCCTTTGGCCGATATTATTTTATCAGGATAAAACGAATACTATAGGATTTTCACTGAGCTGTAACTGGAGAAGAAAACACACTTGATCAAGAAAAAAATTTATATCATTTTATAAACTGCAACATTTACTAAGGTTTGTCTTTTGTCTAAATTAATTGTACTTATCTATATGTAATGTTACCAAAATCCTTTCATTTGTTTTAAATATTTTCTATATATTTTCGTACTTTTATCTAATATCTGATATAGTCATTCCGAAATAATAATAGTGTGTTTCAACTGTTAGAGTTTATACATTTTTCTGTAGTTTTTTTTTACGTATTTCAACCGATAATTTAAAAGTTCACATCTTTGTTTTGAAAATGTTGTCTACAGTCGCACGAAAAACACTTAGAAGATTTTTTACGGTTTCCCGATATCATGTTATTTCATTTTCTATAGGAATTCACACATAAAATGGCTGCTTTAAAACTTGCTGTTGCTGTAGTCATGACAGTTGTTGCTATTGGTTACGGTGGAAAATACACAGGGTAAGTGAACCCTTAAAAATATGACTGACTTTCTGAAGGGAAGTTGCTCGACTGACTGACCATGTGCCAAAAACATAATCAGGGGGAGGGGAGGGGAGTGGGATGATTGGAAGGGGGAGGAGAGGGGGGGGGGGGGGTTGCGAGGACATTGAAATAGCAAGTGCATATATCAATAATGTTTGATGACTGAGCAAGTTAGAGCTGACCCGACTAATTAGATTAGTCATCGAGCCCAAATGGGATATGAGTAAATAGCTCATGAGGCCAAAGGGCTGTTGACTCAAAGACTATGAGAGCGAGACTAATTGTTTCAGTCAAATTCCAACTAGTCGGTAATAGTTGTAAACAAAATTTGGATTTTATGTAATCCTTTAACACTGAGCTTGCCCAGGCTGATAAAAGTCAGGACAAGGCTGAATTGTCTCAGCTATCTAATTCACTTGGAGGTACATGAGTCATTTATTGCCGTTTACATAAGAAAGAATTCAGTTTCCCAGAGGATACATATTGTTGTTGTTCATCCTGTCATCACGTGATGGCTACCATCACGTGATGGTGCAAAGCCTCTATTGGTGAATTTAATTCCTGTGAATTGTTTTACGCCATAGAGATAAGATATTAAGAATCATCCCTACCAGTCGCCAGGACATCAAAATTTTAACCGAACTTGAGGAAGCACAGCCAATCAAGGTATTACAAAATATAACACTTTAACGCTCATGATAATCACCAATATAATAACAACCTTTTGATCAAGAGAATATGAACTAAGAGAAGGAATCCTACCTATATAGCCTTGTAACTATCATGTGCACAGTTTGATGCTATTTTTAGATTGGAGATATTTTGAGCGAAGAACCTGATTGGTTGATTACTTGAGGGTAGGCGGCTCCCAGTCTTGCAGTAAACAAAAGCCTGTGTTTTTGTCGTGGACGTTGCGAAATATGGCGCTTTTCGTGTCCTAAAACGAGGCATTAAAGGGAAGCATGATTATCGCGCGGGCATGGTAACGAGTTAAAAATAGCATCAATGATCCCAAAAATAGCATCAAAGTGTGCACACGAAGGGGCACGGGGATTCCTTCTCTTAGTTCATTTTCTCTTGTTTTGATACATTAGATCACTTATGGCGAGATCAGATCGAGAACCGCTCCAAATGCAGACTGTCCAATCCGCGCACAACCTCATCATCTCGCGGTCATTCGCGTAGTCTGAGAGAATTGAAAAAAAGTTAGTGGTTGGGCACAGGCGATTTGTACGGAGCGAGAGTGGGGAAAGCCTTTAGATATTTCTTACAAACCACGATATTGTAACCGTGTCTCTCAGTAAGAGCAATCTTAAATGCATAATCGAACATTCTTTCAACAGCTTGATTTTTGGAAGTACCCAGACAATGTTGGCAAACCTGTGGATATCCACGTTCAATCCCAAGATTTTGCTAACTTTACAGAAATAATGCAGAATATAGGAATAAAGTTCAAAGTACTCGCTGCAGATTTGCAGGTTTTGATGGACCAACAGAATGACATTGTTCATTATGCAGATGAACATTCCCACTGGTTTGTTCGATACCATCCATTAAAGGAGGTAAGTTTGTCTATTTTTATTTAACATTCTACGAATAGACCTCTTAATTCGTTTGCATGAAACTATTTCATGTTGCATGTTGCATGTCGCATGT